ACATCGGGTGACTATCGAAAAACACTGCTCGCAGCAATCGGTGAGCCTTATTAAGAGGGGGAGCGGAGGAAAAGACAAATGAGAGGGCGCATTTCGCGATTAGAAGGATATGATATGGATTCGAGTCGGGCTTCACAGCCTCTCGCGGCCGATGCTCAATGTAATGAGGGGCGTTTGCTATGACGATGCGTTGTCTTGAAATTGGATGGCTACGGAACCTGTGGATGATGAGATTAAGATACCAAGTATGAATTGAGAATTATGTTTGCTGTAATGAGATTTGAAGTAAGTTATATAACCTTGGTTGCGTGATCTTGGGGAAAATATTAAAGCATATTTCTAACTAGGTGGTACTATACTAGACATAAGCTATAAAAAAGCACTAATAAGTTATAAGCTTTTAGTTATTTTATTATTAATTTTAATTAATATAGAGCATATACCTAAGCACCTAGGCAGAAATTGTCACATGACCCCGCTCCACTCTGTAAAGCTATTTCTGAATCCCGCTAGCGCTATTAAGGCACTAAGGAAATTTTATAAATCTAAAGGCTCCCCCTTTAAGCAATAACCCTCCCTAACTTTTCCCACGCCCTTGGCGCATACGGAACCCTGCTAACTTTTATGCCCCTAGCGCGCTAGCAAGTGTGAACGCGTTCTAAAGGCATTTGGCGTTTGGGCACAGAAGAAGGCACCACGATATTCATCTGCAGACCTTCAGTCAGTCAGCCCTGTTCGCTGCTCACTCTCTTGATTTCATCATACTTCTTTTCTCTGTTTCTTGTTTTCGGCCTCATTTATTAAAAGGCCATATTTCGATGATACCCGAGCAGTCACCAGCAACTCTGGAGACGCTCCTCTCAAGTTTCTCAAATTCTGAGATAGTCGCCGAGAGCTAGAAAAGTGCGACACTTCTCTCTAGAGTGTTCGGGGACTAAGGATGGCGACACAAGCTTCATCTCCGCCAGCTGGCGTACCATTGCAAAATGGTATAAATGGTGCAAAAAGTCCTAATCCAATCATCGCTCATCCGTACGGTCAAACACCAGTACCTCTGCCGAGCTATGCTCCTACTTCGCGACCTGGGTCAGTCGCCTCTACTCCTACTGCGCAAAAGCCAAGCGCTTCGCCCGCACCAGCAACTCCTTTTCTCCAACCAGGACATCAACAATCACCGCCAATGCAAACAAATCGTGTGAGTCAGACAATTTCACAACGCCCTCAGACACAGTTACTTAGCACCCCATCGCAGGCACAAGGTCTGATGTCGCCGCCGTTGAATCAGCCGCCGCACTCCGTCGAGGCATCAAATCACTACCATGAGCTGACTGCTTTAGTCGGAAAAACGCCGGCTGATGTTGTTCGCCAAGTTGTTCGAGACAAATGGGAAAAGTCTCTTGCGGGCTCGCAATATCACATTGCTTTCTTGGTAAGTTTCTCATGCGCTGCATTCTGGCACAAGCCTACCTCGAATTTCATCCTCAGAGCGCTTTGGCTTTATCACAGCTCCGACACTTTCTGGCTCATGCTTGGTACGACTTACTAACTCTCTCATAGTTGAATGCGACTATGCATCAAGCATCCCCGGAGACTATTGCCAAGGCCGTCCAGGAGTTCGGTGCAAACCTGGTACAAAAGTCTAAGCGCGAGTTATTGGGTCACCTCAACGCCAGTGACTTTGACGAGCTCGCAGACTTGATACTCCCTCGGGTTAGTACACAGTTTCTGGACAGGGCCCTTGCAAGGCGTCTGGAGACGATACCAGCCCGGCAGCTCGTCAACGCGTTGGCGCGTGCAGAACGGCTGGGCTACGATGCCAAGGACATCGTCCAGGAGCATAATGAGCAGGTCATTCCTTCTCTGCACTCGTTGCCGGTGCAGCCGCAGCCGCAGCCCACGGGGTCTCTAACAAACATGACGCTTAGTACGACGCAACACCATACTCCTCACGTCGCTTCGCAAACCCCCCCACCGCCAATGCAATATGGTAATAAACCAGCGACTCAAACTCCGGCGAAGACATGGCCAGAACTTGCAGGGATCGTTTGGTGCAAGTGTGGTTGGCCATGTGCTTCGCAAGCGGCACTCGACTATGTAAGTTACCAATTCAAATAAGTCAATTGGATTTATCTAACAAGGAATAGCACCACAAGAAGAGCGCTTGCAACAGAATTCAAGCAGATGACGTAGTTGGGAGAGACGTCTGCCTCTTTTGCGGTTGCAGATTCGGCAGTGGCGGTGGTTTACTCTACCATGAGAAGTCTAACGTCTGCGGAAACCACTCTCGCGGAAGTGCTGAAATGATGCGGAAGTTGCTTCTCCATCTTCGTCCTGAGGATCCGCAGCCTCCTGTGCCAGACCTCTCTTCTGGAATCACACGCATCCCATATACCCAAGTGCCTGTACCGTCGACTCAGCCCCAATCGACCTGGGCCCACTCAACGACATCATATCCTCCTACTGGGACTCCAAGTCGTGATTCGGGCCGCGATCCATACGCCCACCTCAGCCCTGAAGCTTTGGAGAGGTTTAATGATATCATGAAGAGTGCAGAAGAAAAATACGGAGGTCAAATGAAAGAAGCTGCGCTTCTCCCCGAGCCAGAGAGATCAAAAAAATTGGCAAGTCTGAAAAACTCATATAACACAAAGCAAAGCACCACTCGCAAGAAATTTGGTATCCGACTTCGCGAGAGGCGAACCCGAGGAGAGATTGAAGCTGAAGAGGCTCGACTAATTGGGACTCCAAGTGGCACCGCGACTCCGCCGGCTACAGCCGCATCTGACGGCGATACTCGCTCAAGGAAGAGGGCACGAACCGACGATGACCAGTTGCCGTCATCGAGCGCGACTAACAGGACCCAAGAAAGTCCCCAGAAGAGGGTCCCTATGTCACAAATGGGCGGACTCTCGGGTTCATCAGCAACCGCAGAACTCACAGATCCTACAGCATACTTGAACCCAGCTCAGCCCCGTTATGCGCCGCCAAAAACAGCCGCACCCGGTGGCCAGCCTGGTGTGTTTGGTTCTGTAGAGCGAACCAGACCGTCGATGGGAGGGACCCTCGATGATCCCATGTCAATTGACGATGATGACAATTCGGAAACAGACAGCGATAGCGATAGCGATAGCGACGGCGACATTCCAGCTACTATCTCCTAATTTTGCAGATTCGCAAGCATGAGCATGGCGTTTGGGATTACAGGATTTGATACCCCTGACATCAGGATGCGAAAGCACAGGAAAGTCAGGATTGGGGTGCATTGGGGACGGCGTTAAATAAGCATTTTGACGGACGCCGGTTAACACAAACAATGATGCTGTGCCAAATCAGCAAAAGGGCCAATGGGAATCTTGGGAGGGCAAGACATCATAGTTGCTTCCAGGACAACTGGGTTTTTGGCTGCGAGCACCAGTTTCTAAATGATCTTGGGTCGAAACAGGCGTCGAAAAAAATATCCTCAGGGGCATAGGAGCGTGTGCATATTGCACTAGGGATCTCGACGGGAAAAGAGTTTTGGAGTCAATGGGTATCATCAAACAGCTGTACATCATTAATATAATACCTCAAAAATGCTAATGACTCTTGATGAAGGCTGTAAACAATGTTGCAATGGTGCGCACAATTGCAAAAGCAACGTCTTGGAGTATTCGGGCATTTTACTTGAAGCTGTAGATGTTTCGCAGCAGGGAGAATCAAAATCACCAACAAGAATTGATGGACCCACTCATGACTCGGTATAACTTCAAGTCACGAGAGGTTTTTACTTGTTGTGCAGGCCGCGACAGGCGACAGAGCGTTTCAGCCAAGAGGAAAGGATAGGGGTGATAGAATCGAGACCGTGCCTTGGACAGCCGCCCGGCTAATGGTGGATGGAACCTAGCCTAGGTTCCTCCCGTTTAAAAGGTCTGTTGTGAAAGGAAAGTTCACAGACAAGGGCATGTTTAGTGGAGGCCTGCGCAAACACTGAAGAGACAAAGCCTTGTTCGAAACCAAAGAAACGTCTCGTTTAAAGAGTAACTTTGAGCTTATTCTGGTTAGTGGAGCTATTTTACTCTGTTCTAAATCTGGTCATTATCACTTTCAATGGCGCTGTGTCACTTGGAGATAGCATGCATCTCTCGTCGGCTGTTATGCAACCACGTGTGCGTCTGAAGAACCTCGGTTTCATGTCATGGCAAAATAGACCCCCGATGCCCGATATGAGCTGACGCAGGAACAAGAGATTAGCTTGCCGAATGTCCACAAGTGAAGCTGAGCATCATCTGCTCTGCCATCCCTATCGCGATATTCAACTGGCTGACCAGGCGCCAGCGCGGGGCCGAGGGGCTATATGGTTCGACCTATGATAGCCTGAAGCGCTGTGCAGCACAGATGCATCTGCATCTGCATCTGCAGTGCGCACCTAGGTCAAGTGTGACGGACATGGAAGCTGATGCAAGGGTCCTCGCGCTGACTGGACGGAATATCCGCAAGAGGGGGCCCGTTTTGGATCCGTCCTTTTGAAACGCCCAAGGCCTCTGGGTCAATAGGCTTCTCTGCTCACTGTATCGCCACGAGGATGCCCAGAACGCTAGCTGTCTTGAGGGCTAGAACATGCCCCAAATGATCGCCTTGAAACCCACTAGCGACCGCCTTTGGTGCTGATGATGTACATGGATGGCGCTACGATTGGCCGATTATCGAAGCTCCTTGTCGTCCTGGCAAGGGGCTCAAGCGAGCTCTGTCTGAGGATTTCTTTTCTCTCTCCCCAGATACTTGATAATCCTGCCATGTGCCACTCCTGGTGACGGCTCATCTGTTTCGAATTCTCCTCTTGTTTTGTTTTGCTATCAACTGGCCGGCCCAGCTTTTTCCTTCTACATACAGACTGATTTGGTTTTATATTTGTTTCTTACCCCCTCAACACCCTCTTCCTTCTGCTTCCTTTCGGGTCTCGTCCTTCACTGAAACTCACAAAACACTTTTGCCAACTGTTACAAGAGACGTATACGACGATCATGGTTCCTCTGTTTAGCCCCTCTGGCTTTGGTCGTTTCAAGGATAGCCATAGCCGTTTGACCGCGAGCGCTTCACAAAAGTCGGTGCCTTCGCCTATGCCATCGCCTTCGCAACCATCGCCTGAACCAATGGCGACTGTACTTATTGGCCCCAAGCAGCAGCGCTTCAAGGTGAATAAGCGGCTGCTGTGTGCAACTTCGCCCTTCTTTGCCGACCGCTTTGGTGATCTTTCGAGTTCCAAGTCAATCTCGCTATGGCTACCTCGCGAATCATCCTCAATGTTCGGTCTGTTTGTTGACTGGGTTCACCTCGGTCTTCGGTTTCGTCCACATCTTGATGAGATGATTTCTAATGCATACGATGCCGGTCTTGAAGCTTCCCAAAACATCCACTGGTCTCTCATCCGCTTGCACCTCTTTGCATCCCGTCTTGGACTCTATCGACTTCAGGACCTCGCCATGGACTCCATTCAGGACCTCTACCTTCGCTGCGATTGGGACGTTCCCTCTGGACTCATCACTTTCCTCTACACAGAATGCGAGGATCTCGCTGCTATTCGACTTCGAAGATGGGCTGTCGCCATGGTCGCCTTCTCCTTCACCGGTGGGCCCCGTCTCACTTTCCACCCTCAGGAATCTGCTACTTCGGAACCCACCCGCTTCAGTGATCTACTAGAAGAATTACCGGAATTTGCAAGCGACTATGATATACACATGGAAAAGATGCGGCTCTCGGGTCTCGATATTCGCTTCAAGAACCCACAGCTGCGCATTCCAGCCAACCGCCTCCGCAATGATGAACGCGCATTTGGGTTCCGCCAATGTTCCTTCCACTCACATCGCTCAAGCGTCGGCGAGCGACGATGCCCTCACGAATCAGGCTCAACAAAGCACCGCCGTGTTTACCAACCATCGGTGAAGGAATCGGGGCCAGAATCCACAGGTCTAAGCGCCCCAACCCGGAGATATCGTGATGTCGTGCCCAGACCACTCTTTTCCGGACCGGTAGACTCAGATATTGGCGAGGACGACGATGACGAGATTTCAAAAGCGATAAAGCATGTTAGATCTATTTCAAGTACACTCAAGACTTGAAGGGAGGCAATCATTGCTGAAGAGAGAGTGGCTGACGGGAATGAATCCGGCAAGAGGGCTGGGTCTGAAACTCTGATCTGCTTGATTGCCACCATGACCCCATTAATCTCAAACAGCCCAAGACAACTCACAGAACTTGACTTGACATTTGATCATCAAGGTCAAACAGGACGACAACTGGGTTAGATGTCCGCGAAATAAACGGGACACATTTTGGTGGTGGGCACACCTAAAAGATCCTGATTATTTTCTGGATCCGAGGGGACTAGACCAAGCTCGCTGTTCTCGAGCACGTCTGGAAAGTCACATCGCTGCCTCTCGGTTGGCAAGCTCGGGGACCTTGATATATATCGCCTCATGTCTGTGACATGGGCCTTCGTCAAACGACGATACTGGTTGTTCTACCAGCTTTTTCCTTTCATTTTTATATACGTAACCTAGCCAGGTCTCCCGGAGAGAGATGGCCAAAGTTCAAGCGAGTCTTGAGAGCGAGACAACATTCTTTGTAAAATAGTATTTAATGTACATAACGACAAGATATCCTATCATAACAAGAGAATAATCAAACATCATAGACTCTTCAACTATGTCATTCCACTTTAGAATAAGATCTACGTTCACTTTCGATAGACGGTGTATTTATGAAATAAAAAAATATTTTTGACATCATTCAGATCGTTGCTCGTTCTATGGATATTAAATTCCATTGCATCATTCGTCCAAGCTTGATACATCTTCATGGTTCGGGCCCACAAGGAGCTCAATCGTGTCTCGTCACAACATCTCCAATTATGGCGATGTCTGTTTTACTCAATTGCAAGGGTAAAAAAATAACACGGCAAACGTGAGGCTCTGTTTGGCCTGCATGCTGTTCGTTCCATCATATCATCATGAATTGTTGAAAAATCCATCCCGTTTTGGGAAGAATTGAAAGGAAATTGACAAGTTTTGTCGTTGGGCGATTGTCGAGATAGAAAAAAACAAGGAGCAAAGACGCTCGCCTGCGTGCTGGGGAATCCCAGTGTATAGAAAGAAAGGCAAAGCAAAGTGTAGAAGCAGAAGAAGACCAGAAAATGAAGGCTATCGGCAGATAGACTGCTGCTGTCTAGATGCATATGCAAATGCTGAGTCGCGGTCCCAACAAGGTTTGATCAATGTGTGTGCGTGTGTGAACTCATAAAACTCGTCGGGTTCCATGACCTTGTGGAATGTACAAAGAAAAGTAAAAACACAAATGAGGCGTGTTAAAGTGGTGACTCAGAACGTCGACGTGGTTGGTCTCGACGACGGAAATCCTTAAGTCTTTCGTCGATATAAGCCAGTCGGCTTGCTAGCGATGATCGGGTAACTCCGTGGTTGCTTTCGCTGGATTGTTGGACGGTTGCAAACGGCCGGCGAAGAGCGTCAGAATCGTTGGCAGCTCCATGTGACAGGCGATTCGGGAAGGAAAAACTAGATCCTCCAAGAGCGAAAGGTGAGCCTAATCGAGGGGGCACGTCTCCAACTGGAGGAGCCAGCGTTTGCTGCTGAGTAGCTAGTGGCTGCGAAGCTTCGAAAAGCTGTTGGAGATTCTTGCGTGGGACAACGACGTCAGAGTCCATCTCAGGTTCGGTCTGAGGCGTTGCGAACTGGTCATTGGTGGCTGATAGGTCAACGATTGAGGCTGGATCAACCCAAAGATCGGAGCCGAGACTGGGTCGCTTAATCTTCCGAGCCTCCAGATGGTTGGGCCGGCGCTTGTGGGTTGATCGACTACGTGTAAGTCGGACCGGAGACATGAGAGCCCGGCGCGGGCCGCCTGTGTGAGTTTGTCTCTGCAATTTGGAATCCACAACGAAGTTTGAGGGTAGCGAGCTTGACGAGCTGGGGCCGTAGCTTCGCGCTCCAAAGGGAGATGCAAGTTGTGTGTACTTTATTTCAACTGGCTCCAAGGTCTCGCGACTCGGTGGAGGAAGCGAATGTTCGTCGATTTGAGGCTCAGGTTGCGAGTTTGTTAATTGAGCCAGAGGGCCTTGCAGTTGCATGGAATCGGAAGTGCTAACCGCCAATGACATTGCCATATCTTGACCTGAGAAGACCGAGGGGGAGCGACCGAGGACCGTTCGACGATTCCAGTAACGAACTGCGGATTTGTTATATGGAGAAGGGCTGGGAGCTACATATTGTGAACCCCGCGCCTTAGACCTGGCGTTCATCTTGCAAAGCTCCCGCAATTGGGCGCGAGTGGCGGCGCAAGTATGAGGCCACTGAACATATGGGCCAGCGGCTCCTTGAGTGGGTGTGATGCTCCCACTACTAAGATCAATATTTGTCTGAGCCTTTGATCCCTTCCAACTCCTCCTCGCCTCTCGGGCCACACGCAAGCAGACTCCATGGGGAGGGATGCCGCTCTTCCCGATACGGAAGGGTGTGACCTTGGGGTCTTGCAAGTACATCATATAGGTAGACCATAGGTGCTGGTTCATTGGTTTTGTCCAGGGTGCTCTTCGAATGGTATCTCGAGGAACCTCCGTTTTGGCAGGCTTGAGAGTTTTACTATTGTCGTCGGCATTTGATAGCTCATTCGCAAGGTCTGCGTGTTCATTATCTGGGCTGATGCATTGACTCAAATCCTCAGAGCTGATGGAAAAGTAGCTCAGCAGGGAAGCACTTGTGTGTGTCGAATGAGCTGTCGAAGGCCGGCTGGACTCATAATCGGGACTAGATTCGAGGCTACTAAGAGTAGAATCGATAGACCAGTTTGGATATTGTTTGGGGGTCAAAGTTGGTAATAGGTCTGGAGCAGGAGTTTTTGGAGGCGAAAACATGCGCTCTGAACCACCGTGGGGCGTGAAGGGTATATCGTCCACGTTGCTGAAATGTGACATCGGGTATAGTGTCTCTGTCATCTCCTCGTCAAGTACACGAGGCTCCTCGATACTAGGAATGGGGATATCTGCAGCGGCAACCGACGCGAGAAACTGTTCTGTGGGCGCATTGAGATTTGACGCATTCCTTCTCTTGACTCGGAATCGGGGACGCGGCGGGGATGGTGGTTGAGTCTCGCCATTTAGAGTAGGCTCGGGCGTTCTCAGGAGATCCTCACGGCGCGCGCTTCTCGACCAAGGGGCCGCGAGAGATTGGAAGTGCGACATGGCGGGTCACAAGGAACGCGAATGCGCTCCAGAGTTGCGTGAACTCCGAAATAGTGGTATAAGTATTCGAGGGAGAGCAGCAATAAGCGGGGCGGTTTGAGCGCAGAACAAGTCGATGCCAATGTTTCGGGATGCGACAGCGCTGTCTTAGATCTCGTCAAGATGTCGCACGGCAACTTAGACGATACTGAGCTCGAAATTATCGACGAGTTTCGGCGATGTGCTTTCGGGCGCCGGAGGTGTTGCAAAGTATAAGATCGAGCCGAAGGTTGAAGCGCGACAGGATGCGACAGCTGTTTATTTGTGCGGGCCAATGCTTTCCAGGAAAATAGTCGAAAATACAAGAAAGCGTGCTGATTGTTCGATCGCGCGTCGTCGGGTTTGGTATGTGATAGACGGTAATAAAACAAGGAAAGTATGTCTCAGATGAGAGTCGTTGTCGTGCTTATGGTTATGGTCGTCATACAAGGCGATGGCCGTTTATTGTTGTCACCACCGCGGGATTTGTGGAGGTCTCTCAGTCGCAAATAAACAACAGCGGGTGGCGGTCTCGGTACGACGCGCCGTCGCAGTTGAGGGTCCCGTAGACGAGCAGTGAACAAGCTGAGCTCGCGCGACCGACAGTCGGCGCAATGTACGGGAGCACGAGAGATGATGGGAGGAGTATTGGGCGCAAACGAGAGACTGGAATGGATAAACGGTGAGTGGAAGGAGAAAGGAAAGTAGACCGGGACGATGTGGGTGTGGTGGGCGGGAGTGTGCGCTATGTATGAATGGGCAAACCAAATGCTCAACGGGAAGTGAGTGGAGAGCAGGGCCAGCCTGGGAATGGACGGGCGGCTGGTTAAGCACAGTACGTCTCCTCTTTCTTGTCTCTTGACCCAACCAGGGTAGAGAAAAACTTGAAGCACACTGGTCAAGGCCGCGGATGTGGACCAACAACGAACAGCGGGTGGCGCGAACGCTGCAGTCCAAGTAAGTAGGTACAGTACCTGGCAGAAGAGCTGTGCAATGCTTGTTGGTTAGATACTGGCTCGCTAGATGCCGGTCGGTCCCAACGGTGCTGTGCTTGTCCAACACTATGCTCCAACTGAGGACAAAGCAGAGAGCAGGACTCGTTCCAAGGCAGGACGCGATATTGATGTTATATTATATGATGCGCTCGCTGCGCTGCACTTTGCAGTCGTGTCTTGACCTCTGCGGTTTCTGGCGATCCACTGGTGAGTCCCTTGCGGTGGTGGTGAGGACGGCAGTAAGCCCCCAACAGGCGGCGTGCTAGCGCAAAGCCCTTGTCAAGTCGACCCCGGCAGCGTCCGTGACAAGGAAGAGCTCAAGCAGCGGTCAGTGGGTGATGAGGGCACGTTGTGCGAGCTTGAGCGATAACCCTGGACGGTAGAGCAACCGTGATAGGTCTGATGAAGAGGTTGATGATCCGTAAGGTGATCGAGACCATGTGATGGAATGGAGACAAAAGGACAGTCGACTGAGACCCTGCGTGCCTTGTTGTGTTGCAAACGACGTACGTACAGTACGCTACGGTACCTATGAAGATCTCGGTATGGTTGACCTAGATTTGTGTTTATTTGTTTGATATGAGCTTTGCTTCCCCGTTATCGTTGCAGAGGTGACGATGAGTCCAGGATTGGCAATTTTTGCATTCAAGTACCATTCGCCGGTCTTTATTCCTCTGATCTGGTTCTGGGGCGGTCAACTCTCGGCGGCCGGCCGTAGGTGTTGACTTAGACTCGCTCGGGACCTCGCATAGAGATGCGGCGTATGGCCAGTCTCTTGGGTTTGGGAGCGGCTGCAGAAATGCAAATGTAAATAATGGCCGAGAATCTGTCACACTTGGAGCAATCGAACATATAATTTTTGGTATGAAAGAGTTCAAGTTGCTCGAATATGAGCGTCTGCTGGATGACATTCTGGAAACAACACTGAAGAGACGCGATCAAACTCATGTTTGTTTGTTATGATCTGAGAGCCTCAGATGAGACAACAGTAACCCAGGTTTTCCACGCTCCCCGTTGGCTAGCCTCGAGGTCGGGTACCACTTATTGGTGACCTAACGCACCCAGCGTGTGCGTCTGCAGAGAGTGAGTTGACGATAGGATTGCTTGGTTGAGAGCAAAGGGCGAGGGGAAATGCGTCGAGAGCTAGCAAATAGCAGCATAATGTGACGATCCAACGAGAAGGCAGATTGCCTCTGTCATTTAGACAAGGCTCAACGCCAGCATGTTTCGACCCCTGCCCACGCATCCAGCCAGAGCTGCACGTCGGCGGCAAGAATGAAAGACAGCGCAGGGAAAGAACGCACAGGCACAGCACAGCTATCGCCCGCACTCACATGCATGCATTCGCTCCAAACGAATGACCTTTTGGGGTTGAATGTGGATGGGCGTGATGGGGTTGTCTGTTTGAATAGGGTTAAAGGTGTGGATGTCTTCTGAGGGTGAGGGGTTGATAAAACGAAACAGAGAAACGGGTCAATATGACGCTGCATGTAAACAACTCAAGCATTGTGAAATACCTTGGGGATCTTCCTTTCCATCGATCCTGCCTTCCATTGACTAGCAGGACGAGGAAGCATTAGCACCTAGACTTCCTCACCTCCAACTAAACTAAGGTAGCGCCCCTAACTCACTCAAGGAAAACAACTACTACGTAGAAATAGTGAACCATAAAAACTTGGAACAAAGGTGGCTGGGGATTAACGCGAAACCCGAACGCGTCGACGCGTCATTCTCAACGAGCCAATGAGAAAGCACCTGAGTTTGTCAGTCACACGAACTATATATCACTGCTGTAGCTTGAGCAGACCAGCTACGAATCAGAGCATTCAATTGATCTTGGTCCAATTCTTCCACAGCTGCACGATGAGCTTCTTCACAATCCTTGTCTATAAAGCACAGTGGGTATTTATTCACATTTGGACAAGTTTACAGCACACCTTTGGTCCTGCTCCATTCTCGTCATCACAAGAATTCTATCAAGAATCGAAGGATGTCTAGGGTGGTAGTGGGGGTGGTGCCCTACCCCTCTCAGCTAGGTAGGTAGCTTCACACACGCCGGGATTGGCTCGTAAGCGACTGTCAAATCAGAGGCCAAGGTGTGATAAAGAACGGCCTAGAAGGGAAGTGGATGGAACACTGTGTTTTTTCTACGATGTGCTGATCTCATCTGAGCTGAGACTGGTAAGTTGTAGCCACTAACAGAAACACGAGGGCACCAGTGCAGCACCACGCTAGACTCATCACCACAACCTGGATGATAAAGCCTGGTTCATTAGGATGGCACTATAGTCCAACTTTACAGCTGACACTGATGTCATATGTAGCTAGAGATGGACATCCAATCAATAAGACCAATATAATAGTGGCGGACAGAAAAACACCACAACAACGAAGTATGGCATGACGTACTGTTGTATAAATCGGATTGAGCTGGAGTTCATGTATCGGGACATGATTTTTGCAAATGCCATTGCAGGTATCACCATCTTGGCTGGTATGATTTAAATCATACGACTGCGTGTGAGTTGATCTAGATATAGTGCAGCAGGAGGGAGATAAACCCCTTTCTCGCTGCAGCTTTTTGTCCAAAAAGTTGACTGATTGATCATTGTACGAGAGTCACTTGAGTTCTTCGAACGGACGTGTCTCAAATTAAGATATTGGACTGCTATTCAATTGCAGATACTTTCCAGTAACGTACATGAATCGCATGTGTGCAAAACAGCGAAAACGAGAGCTGTAGCTCTGACGATTTGCTCAGAGGTGGACTCGAGGGTGCCATGGTTCGTATGCTAGATGGAAATGTTCGAGGTTATGGAAAAGCGGCAACAAATTCTTCAATACAAGAACGAGAAACCTTTGGTATACCAGTCATTACGTTCGGAAGAAACCATGGGCTTCCAGATCTACTACAGCTTTTCTCTTTAAAAGGTTGGTAGCATGACGCCTGTTCACGCAGTCTACCCACATGGGAGGAACCTTCGCTGTGATCAAAATCACTCACGATAATAGATACAAATGCTCACTAATACCGGGCCAAGATTCTAAGAATCTGGATCATATATTTAAACGCTCCCACATCTTTGAGGTGTCTCACAAGGCGATATTCCCTGTAAGTGTTCTTTCGACAACAATCAACAGTGAAGGGGTGGCGAGTCTATCTACCGGGTTAACGATCAATACTCAGGTTCAACTGGAAATGGCCATTGTCGCTCTTCGAAGCACAAACTTCTATACAAATCTTCGAGGTTATAAGACGGATGGACCAATCTTCAGTAAGGAAATGAGTCCAGCATAAAGGTTGAGGTCAATCTAGGTATGGACACATAATCGCAAGGCCAGAGCTATCATTAAATGGATATTCGAATACTATTGTGGTGCAACATGAACCTAGACCTCACGTCAACGTTGGCCCAGGAGGCCAAGATGTAGAGTACATGTTTTATTCATAAACATACCAGAGACGGAGCAACGAGCGAAGGGTGCAAAGGTGGCTGGAAGTTGACCGTACATTGGGTTCAAGGGGGCCTTCTCACTAATCCTTCTGGCAATCATGGCCCTCGAGGATGTGGTGCATCGCTATGTAAGACGATATGTTCTTACACATCTCCCCGAGAATATGAAAGCATACTGAAACCTCAAGATAAACATAAAGCCCCTGAAGAATATGATAGATACCGAGAAACAGTCCTCAGATATAAGAGTCGCCACTTCAAACCCATAAGACCATACGTAGGGGCAGCCTTCAGCGCAGGAAGTAAGTTTGAGGAGACGAATTCTGACATCCACATCAGCAAGACTGATATGGCTTGAGCATTTAAACTCCGTAGTTGCTGGAATAAGTGGATGGCTTACAGCGGTATCAGTCGGGGGCATGTTTACAGTAGGTACGGTGATAGGGCTTGGGGAGAAACCACACGATACATTTCCCCTTAAAGGATACTTCTAGAAAGAACAAAGAATGAAGAAAAGTTACCAGAAACAGAAATAGTCGAGCTCTGTGTATTCGCATATATGCCCTTGCTGATGTCGGACGGTGCAATTGCGCAACTGAGTTGATAGGATAAATGGCGCTCATCTAGAGATGGTCAATCACTTCATATCAGCAGGTATTCCTGAGCACAGGCGAAGAAGGGAGCACTTGGGGACGGCTGATACTTTTTACGTATCCCGTCATAGTGAACTAAGGATAGAAACACGTGAATGCTCGAGGATAATAAACTGTGATACTGATGAGGAAGTAGAAGCGCCGAGCATACGATAGAGACGTTATAAAAACGCCAAGATGCAGAGACCAATATAAAGAATAGTGACATATATATAAGATGTTATAGCATGAGTGATTTATCTAATCCATTCTTAAAGTACCTCATATCTTGTTAATTGATTTTTACTTAACACTCTTATATCTATCTATAATAAGAAGAGTATGGGTCGTATAGTAAAATTAATTAGTTGATGTAAAGTTGAATATCTACCTTATGCTACTAAAGTGAGGTAATTAGTAGATTATTAGGAGGTAAAGAACAATAAAGATAATGTGATAAGAAATCAATTTGTAGTCTCCTGAGTGGCCGGGCCAAGAGCAGAGTCGCTCCGGATAATACGGCGCCGTCACGGTCTTTGGGACGGGCAACCCCGCAATCATGACACCCCACATCCCCCGCCAACCTCAAACTTGCACTGGACCAACTTTTGCTCTCTGTTGGAGTCATCTCAACCTCACCGACACTAGCACCAACAGCAAGCGCTTGCTGCATGTATCCTTTGCGCCCAAGATTATTCATAGACTGTAGGAACTTACCTTCTTGTATTTTTCGTCTCGATTGGATCAATCCGCTGTCAAGGTTAATCATGACCTCACATGCTCCCGATATCGTCACCCTCGACAATCTGTCGCAGACTATTACACCCTGGAACCCTCAAGGGGAAAGTCAACTCTATGCAATAGTTGATATGGGAAGGTACAAATAGTTCTAAACAAGTCAAACAATCCTCGTACCTGACATCTAATTCAGTAATGGCATTCGATTCTCCATCACATCGCTAGCGCCTCCATTTACACGCCTTCTTCGTCCCATCTACTCAACTCGCGCTGCCATTTCACTATTTGATGCACTCAGGAACACACCTCAAGGTCTAGTATTTCTTCCGGAAACCATTGCTGCCGTTTCCAAGACGCTGGAGCGTTTTCATCAACTCGCCGTGCGTCATGGAGTGCCAGCGAGGCACATCACCATCCTCGCTACTGAGGCCATGCGCCGGGCCGACAATGCTTCTGAAATGCTCGAGGCAATTTCATCCGCGACTAATGGTCTCAGAGTGAGCATACTTGAGCCCGCTGTTGAGACCCTCTTTGGCGCTGTTATGGGCTCTCGCAGTGGTCTCGTTGGCGTTGAAGGTGGCGCTCTGTTCTTGGACCTCGGGGGCGGGAGCGTGCAGATGACGTGGGTGGACACCAGCAAGCCAAACTACGAGATAGATGCTGCCAGAGCTGGAGTGAGTCTGCCGTTTGGAGCCGCGAGATTAATTCGCGTGCTGCAAGAGCAGCCAGCCGATGTCCAGGCCTCTGAGATCTCAAAGCTTCAAACCGGCATGCAACAAGCATACGCCAACCTCTGCTCCAAGTTCCCTGCACTTGACGCTCTGAAAGGCTCTCATGAAGAGGGTTCTCGTGTGAACGTCTTCATGTGTGGAGGGGGCTTTCGCGGTTATGGCAGCATGCTCATGCACCAGGATCCTGTGAGCCCGTACCCTATCCCCTATACGAACGGCTATACGGCTTCAGGTACACTCTTTTCCAAGGTTGAGCACATGCGTCGTGTCAACGAGGAACACGACAGTCGAATTTTCGGACTTTCAAAGCGTCGTCGTAAGCAATTCCCTGCAATCGCCACCGTCATTGATGCATTGCTCGCGACGGTGCCCAATATCGGAAACGTGACATTCTGTGGCGGTTCGAATCGTCAAGGTGCACTTATGATGAAACTTCCGTTCGAAATCCGCGAGTGTAACCCTCTCGATATTCTTGCTGGAGTCACACCAGATGAGAAGCCCGTATTTGATGCTGTGTTGAACACGTTGAGAAGTGCTCTTCCTGCAGAGGTCGACTTCTCATCCATGCCTAATATTTTGACTACTGGGCTGGACTCTCTTTTTGTGCGGGATATTTGGACTCGACAGGGCCACGATTCGGATAACAACTCGTCGTTTGCACTGCATCATGCAATTACCCGGGATGCGGAGGTCCCTGGGCTCTCACACACCGGAAGGGCCCTACTGGCGCTTTCAGTCTCAGCTCGATGGGGAGGCACTCTAGGGCCCTTGGACTCACAGCTCCAGCAGAGTCTGTCGGCACTTCTTGAGAGCCAGCATCTTGACGCACCATTTTGGGCTTCGTATATTGGTGCTGTAGCCGGGCTTATAGCCATGGTTGTACCAGTCATCCCGAAAACCGCAAAGGAGGTGGAAAATGCTATCAGGTTAGTGTCATTCTTCAGAAGTATGCCAAGTCTTGTTGTCTAACGAACACAGCATAAAAGCACATCTCAAGCAGGCAGAGGATAAAAGAGAGAGAATCGTATTAACGATCAGAGTCGCCTCCGCCAATATAGCGGGTGTCAGTCTAGATGATCTCGCCGACAGGGTTGAGAAAACCGCCAAAAAGAATGGAGGGAAGAAGCCAAGATACAAGATAACTGCCCAAGTGAGCCTATCGCCATGACACATTTCTTCATCAACATAAACCAACCCAATACACACATGTTTTTCCTTCGATCCACATTAAACAAGCCCAGATGCAGCGAACGTCGTTGTATTCGTCATAAACCATAAAAGAACCACCATATCATGCTTTTTTGTTCGTGTTTTGTCTTTTCCATATGTTTTTTCTTCTTCCTGTTTTGCCTTTTCGTTTGCAAATGATTTTCTGTAATGACTGGACATGATTTGTGCAGTTATTACGCACTATCACGGGAGCTTCCCTTACTCTTGGTACTACTTCGAGGGCGTCTCTTGGATGAGATCTTCTTAAGCTCATGGTTAACTACCAGGGCGCTTAGTCGCTCGTCAACCTTGTACGACGAACGCTGAATTCTCTCGTCTGGCGAATGGTCAGTGGAACGTCCCACATAATGAGGTGCGGTGGTCTTACAGAATTCCTTTCTGGTGTCCATCATATCCTGCGAGAACTGGCGAATTTTGCTGCTATGGCGAGCTTGAGAAGGATAGTCCTTGAGCCAGTCCATTGACATCTCCATTCTCTTGGGAGTCTTGAATTGGCAGTGATAGAATATGGCTATCAAAGGGAAGAATCCATTGTAAAGGTTCTCGAAAGCCCCAACTGAATGTCGTTAGCGATGATGTTTGACCTTCGAGTCAAATTGTCTTACCAATATTCTGATCTCTCTGAGCACTTGGGTTTCGGGCGAAATATCCATCATGTGCAATGACCAAGTCTCTGTACATGATCATGAGTTGCCACAAGCTGGCCCAAACTGCCATCTTCTCTTGAGCTTTAAGAGACTCTTGTTGCGCCAAGCAGTCTTCGAGGAGCTTGAGGATATCATGCTCATGGGATACAAGTGCGTTCCATGCAATGCGTCTAAGCTCTGCTTGAACAGTAAAGGGGACCTGAGAGAGCTTGTTGGACGAGCTGCAGCAGGTGAAGCGCGGAGCTTTCCAGATTCTGAAGAAACAATTCATTGTGTGGACCTTGGAGACGAGGTTGTGCTACAATAAGAGTTAGCTCTACTGGATACAGCAAGGATCAGGAAGAGTGGGTTGCGAGTGTTACCTTTGGAAGTCCCTGGCCGTCCTCATAATATGAGAGCAAAAAGTTTTGCACCATATGCTCAAATCTAGAGCTGCGTTCTCTTCGGATCTGTGCCTCGACCCAGCGCTGGAGTTCACCATAAGTGGGAAATCTATCCCGCTCAAACGCAGCGTTTCTGGGGTTCTCATCGGTTCCATTCTGAGAATGGTATGCTTGGACAGATGCCCGAAGAAAAGGGGATTCGGCATCGCGGGTGAAGAAGATGACAATATCTCTGGGTTTGGCAGTGGGAAAGCGAGGCTCATGATCAACGACACGCCTCTCTTCCGCAGGGTCGGGTGACCAGACGTCTAAATATGATATGTCTCAGTGTACATGTCTCACTTTGAGGCTGGGGGCCAGGGGGGGTTGTTCGACATACCGACGATGTGACGAATCACAGGCGGAGCAACCGCAGGGGTCCTACGGGTACAGACTAGGTGTGAGTGGTCTGGGAAGGCCTTACGGCAATAGGGACAGACGCCACAGTCTTGACACTGGGTAACGGCTCAGTTCAGTGTTTGTTTCAGAGGGGCAATGGCCTTGTATAGGCATTGTATTGGATTGGTTTTCTTACGCGGGTCTTAGAGATACGGCACGGAAGACAGGCCCCACTCTTGCGGACATCGGCTGTCTGGTCTGGATCAGAGAGCTGTCTTGACCTCTTCTCCACAGAACGCTGACGCTTGACACCAGAGGTTGAGTTTGAGGAGGGTGAGTATGAGTATGTCTTGGTGTGGCTTGAGCGGCGGGACGAGGACTCGTGTACCTGGATCTGATGTGGGTAGCCATACCCCCGGGGGGCGTGCTTGCTAGGTACGGCCTGGGGGTACGTCCACTTATCATCCTGGGCCTGAACCTCTTGGAGGCTGACTCGAGGACGTCGACGGACATCGTCTACGCCATCGAAGAAGACGGAACCAGAGTGAGACGAAGGAGAGGTACTACCACCTCTGACGAGTTCTGGTGGGGTCTGACCCATGGACTCGGATGTGGTAATCCCTCCATCGTCCGGGCTCAGGCCAGGGGTCATCCTTAGGTATTCGGCCTCGCTCCTGTCAAGAGAGAGATGATCAAGAAAGGAAGGGATATCAGTGATGAGCGAGGGAAGGTCCCTGTAGCTTAGGCGAGGGGAGCTAGAAGCTCCTGGGTAGTCCTGAGACCTGGTCGAGTCACAGTAGAGATCCCAGTCAAAGACAGACCTGAAGAGCTCATCATAGTCCAGGCCCGGGGAGGTGGGAACACGCGGGTTTTCTTGACCTATCTGGGACAAGTTTCTGGACGCAAAGACAGCAGCGGAAGCACCTCCTTTATCCATGTTGACGACCTGCCTGCCCTGCAATGTAATGTACTGTTTCTGGTGTAAGTCACGAGGAGCTATCTTGGTGGAACCTCGATGTCTGCGCTGGGCGAATTGAAGCACGCAGCAAATACTTGTCAGAAGACGATAAGGTGAAAAGTTCCAATGTGCCTGATGCTTGCGTGCAAGATTGAGCGATTCAGAGACACGTCCTGGCACCAGAGAGTTATAATTCGGCCTTCCTCGACAGTCGTGGTGGACTTGTTCACTTACACCATCCTCCTCTTCACTTCTCGGTGTAAGACAGGGGTTGTATTGGCTAGATCTCACAAATTTCCACTGTAATTGACCAATAAAACAACCTTGTCTTACCGGTTTTTGACTTGAGTTGAGTCCAGGAGAACGCTACGAGTTGCTAGTAGACCTAGATCACGGGAATTCTGTAAATGACTATTGTTGGGATGGAGGAGAGGCGAAACTTTATCGATGGTAAACTAGACGGCTAGAATTATCCAGTGTTGCTGGCGCAATTGCTCGTTGATGCTATCAAACCTCCGTGATGTACTGTTGGTGTTGATATCTGGATGACCAGACAAAACAACGATATTTAGGTAAGGGCAGCCAATTACTTCCTGGGATCAATTGCATTTGCGAAACTGTCAATTTAAAGTCGCGATTGTCAGTAATCGAACTAGTTCCCTTTGTTATCCTCCGCACGGGCGGTCTGTTAGCCTTGGTGTCGTGTAGTAGAGCAATCGAGTATATCTGTGATATATGGGTTATCAACTCAAACCGAAACACTCAATTGGTCAAACCAAACCTAGATACATATCAGAACCCATCATAATAGCCAGAAGAAACTTGCCATTGACTTCTTTTGGCTTTTCTTCCCAGTGTCAGCACTTAGCTTGGTGGTGTTGCTAGTTCTTTGACATCCCAAAGTGGGATCGTGCGGTTGTATAGGACAGGGATGTCACCTCTAAGAACTCACGACTCCAAGAAAGACTCGCCGCGCCGATCATCAGAGTATCACCATTTGTAAGTTATTGCAACTTGATCTGTTCAATCCGAATGGCATCAAGTCGAGAGGTTCTAGACACAGTAATTGCAACTCTGGTTGCATAATATTGACAATTTCTTAGCTATCGTAACCACACAATTTTTATACCCGACAGCGGGCTCAAATTTAAGTCAGTTTAATTTTAATCACTCATCGAAAACTCAGATATCGTCTATCAAATTTAGGATTTAATTTTTTCGTCCGGCCTTAATTTAAGCACGGCGCCCCGTCCCGGCAATGCGGGGCCGACAACGGCTCCGGCCGTGGTCAAATTTAACCTCAGCGCCACCGGAGCTCCGCATCGGTAAATTGGAAGCGAGACCCACGCTGGTTGCCTTATTGAGCAAGACAAGATGAGTTGCATGAGACATCAGTCATGTGCCCAGATTTCTCAGAGGAATGCAGCGCGACTTTCTAACCTGCTTTTTATTTTCCTGAAGACGTGACTCGAAATAAAATTGACTGCTTATAACTCTGCTCGACACTTGGTGAGGCCTAGGATAACTTTAGGTCAAGGTACTGTAAAATAAAATCATAAAGTGAGCCCAAAGTCATCATAAATTACGGATACAAAAAGCATTTTCGTATAGCTTTCCGAAACGTTTGTTGTAAGGTAAAGCCCATTCATTCGCCACTCGATTCGCTCCAAACCTTTGCCCACTCCATGATCCATAGTCGGGCCAGCGCAATGATGAGCTCGACATTTAAATTCGAGCTCCTTCTTCTGGTAATCACTATAGTTAACCAAATCTCATACTTGGCGGTCTCATGGTCTGCCGCCCCGGAAGAGGTTCTCAAGCGATCCCAAAGAAACGTAGATTTGACGTCTTATCATTCCAATTTGGCTATTTTCAGGCCAGCCTGGAGATATAACCTCATAAAGATGCACCTGTCCCTATGATCCTCCGAACTGGAAACGCATCGACGCATCAAGGCCACGAATTCCCGTCACGGCCAGAGATCGGAATAGAGTCATTGCAAGTGTGTTCGAGGGCAGGAACTCGCAACAGGCCTCTAAGCATCTCTTCATGCCTGACAAAAAGATCAACGATACGCGTATTGAAGACAGGACGCTTACTTACACTCTTCCCCTCGCCAGAGAGTAAATCGCCAAGGATATCAAGTACTTGAAAGCCTAAACGATGCATCGGACTGACCCTTAGATAAAAAACCGGACCTATCCTCTGGGCTTGGAGGGGCTTCGTCTGCAAAGGAATACCTACAGACTTTCGAAATCTTCCGTGGGATGACATATCTCGGTATGAGAGCGGAAGCGATTCGAAACTACTACGACGGCCACTAGAGAGAACGCATCAATAAGTTCAATGAGGAATACGTTAGAGCCAACCCACGTCAGGTCGTCAAGAAATGGTAGTCTGAGTTGTTGGAGAAGACGTTCTTAGTCGCTGGGCTCTGACCTTGAATGAAGATACCTCATTCAACGATTTTGTCAGATCCATCTACCCCTAAACATGTCATCCTCATCGCTGACATAAAAGATGACCTTATGGGCGTTGACTTCCTCAACTAGACCTCAAGGAGCAAGGGCATCATTGTATCTACCACAAAGATTAGCCGCCCAAAGATCCAAGTGGTTGGGTGTCTAGCTAGAGTCTGGACTGACCGACCACCCAGCCTCGCCTTCGCTGTCGACTCCGCAGGAGGGTATGGCAAGGCCTCCCGGGTGAAAATTAATGATTATACCATCAAAGAAGCTGAGTTTGAGGCCATTGAAAATTGTGACGCCTACTGGGAGCGTGCCGCGTTCGTCTACAATCGCGAACGTGCGATCGAGATGAGCAGGACAGATACCTCGGCAAGATTCTTCAGCAGAGGAAATGGAGAGAGGCTCGGTCTTCACCTTGATGAAAATTTTGGCTCATTCATTCATTTATTTTCTTCTTCTCGCGGAGATATGATTCGTTGAGAGAGATTGGTGAGGATGGCGTGGGCTGACGTTATGGGTTGCTATTGACAGTATCTGCGAGTTTCTTTCATTCTCTTTCTTTTTTACTTGAGTTCGGTTCATTTTATTCTGCTTTGTTCAATGGGTTTAGCAGTTTCTTATTCTTCTCGGGAGCAAACGGGCAGGAAGCCAAAAAGGAAATGGGTTGCAAATGAGATTATTGGGCTTAGGACGAAATGATATCAAAGATAGTAGCTTTCTTTAAAACACTTACCTTGCTTCTGAACTCTTAGCCATCACTTCATACTAAGCTTTCTAGGGGAGCAGCCTCAAATTGGTAGACATAAAATTGTTCTTAACAACATGTTTATTATGATGAAATCCCTACTACGAGGGATAGCCACCCGCCTAGCTCTTAACCCTCCTTTCCCCTCCGATTTTTCTTCCTAACTTAATAGGAGCTGCCTCGTTCAGGCTGGGTTTGGCGACTCTATCTGCGACTAGTTTCATGCGATTAGTATCAGTGCGAACGACTAAGGATGCGAGTCGGGCCTTCAGAGGATATAAGGCGTTGTCTTCGGGCTCTGCGTCTGCAGGTATGCCTGCGCACTTTTCATCTCTCCAGGTCCAGAGAGTAGACTTAGTCTCATAGTTTAGTATGAGGCCGAAATACACCGGCTTGGCGGCGCGTCGCTCTTTATGCTCCACGGTGGCACCTTTCTTAAGCTGTTCTTTACTAGGGGTAGAGTGTCCCTTAAGGTCCTAACTTCAATCTGGGTGTCATATATCTTCTTCTTTTTAGGAAGAATAGGGTCCGTGGGTGCTCGTTACGGGAGTTCCAGCCCGAAAATACGTCCGCTTTAAACTCGAGCCAATATGCGATCGTGATGTCGACTGCTGGTGTCTGTGTCATGCTCATACGCACAAGCGCTTAGTGATGCGCAACTGTCGAATTAGAAGCACGAGTAGAATTAAACAACAAGAAGGTTTTTATTATGCACTGGCTTAAATAAAAGAAGAATATTATCTGGTTCTGAGCTGCTATGATATTGGTCTTGGTATATATTTTCTGCCGTTGCTGGAGATGTTGGTTTTAAATGACTTTTATAGATGGGTATTCCGCACACCCTCTTCCCTTCCTAAGACCGGTGGTATTGAATCTTTAGCTTGTGGTCCCTATTTGTATGTCTACTTATCCTGGATTTAATGGTCTTTTGACCGATAGTATAGTCATAATTCGACGATATATACAATCCATAGTAAGTCTTTGTTGCAACGAACGATCCTGACCGATAGATAACTATACACAGCATATAGAACAATATGTTAGCCTATAAACTATACATGATAATCAACATAGTCAGATTGTGTAAAGTCTGTTGAATATACTGCTTGTCTAGACGGTTGTTTGCTGACTTGGATGGCATGATAACCGCTGGGGTTGCCAATGGAACGTGATATCATTCGTACGGTTCCATGTTAGCAGTAGCTAAGCCCACACAACCAACTGAACAAAAACCGTTGATCAACAGGAACAATTACTTTGTCTGTAGTTGTTTCGGCTTAAGTCCCGCTTCTCGATCCAGTATCATTCTACGTAGCAATTGATCGTGTGACGCTGACATAGACATGGACTCTCTTTCTAAGAAACAGTCAGCTCTTGTTCCACAAATAAAATTAAAGCTACCAACGGAAATAGAAGCTTTCAGTGCGTAAGCTCATGAAGGCTTCGATAAGAGACTCGTCATCGTTGAGAAGCTTGCGTGTTGCAGCTACCCGGAAGTCGGCATAGAGCGGACTAGTTACGCGGAACAGGGCTGCATAGATAGACACGAGATAGTGATAGAAATGTGTGCCGACTTCGAGCTTGCACTCCGGAAACCCGCTGTACTCTTCAGGCACATGACAAGGAAATTCTTGGAAGGCCATATATGTGTGGACGAGTTTCCGATACATTAGAATCAGACACCACAGGCTGGCCCAGAGGGCTATTGAGTTATCGGGCCCAATGCCCGCAGTTCCAAAGACAATTTTCTCGAGCTCAAGAAGAACTTCTTTCTCTATTGGTTGGGAGGCCGCTTTTGAGATCTGGCCGAACTGGGTATGCAACGCACAAGATGGCGGAGTCATATTTCCCTCCCTTTCCATGCAAAGAATGAGGCCCAAGCGGATCTTTGTCAGACAATTGAGCCTGTGTACTTTACGGACAAATTCGTACTTTGTCGTGTAAGTAGGCTGAGCAAGGCATCAAGATGAGATTTTGCTTACCATAGGCAGGGATGCTTCCGATTGACTGTATCTCAAGACGAATGAATCCACGGTTTGCTGGAAGCCTATGCAGCGGGTATCCTGATGAACGATCATTCTTTCGACCCAGTCAATCAGTTGGCTGGGTGGAAGAAGCTGCGGTAAGGCATAGCGGGCGCTTTCTTGGCGGTATGATTCGACTTGCTCCCCAACTTGATCCGTCACGACCCAGCAACAGAACCATGGTGGTGTTGTGTTTCCATAATAATCCTGTACTTCAACTTCAAGAACTGGGTTGTCAAGGTAGTCCATGGACAAGGAGACTTTTCGATGTGGTCCAAGATGAGTTGTGCCTGCGATAAGCTCCTGGTTTAGCAATCTCGCAGTATAATCGATATAGTGAAGGTCTGAAACTATTAGCTGACTCAAATAAATACCGGCCAGATACAGTCTTACCTCCTGAGCTGAATCTCATTTTCGTCAACTTCTCACGGATACACAACTGAGTTCCAAGAATACCAGCTGCTTTTTCACATGCTTGACATGGAGCCCCTACGCCACACTAAAAGGTCAACTTCTGTATGTACGGACGTGCCTGGGCGTACGTAATGAGACATACAGATATTCTTCGAACTTTGCATCTGAAGCAAGCGCCAGTTTTCCGGACTCGCGCAACTTCAAGCCTCCTTTTTTCATCAAAGTCCTTTCTCTTCTTCTTGATCCCATCGGGCTTGGTGGGGTTAGAGGGGAAACATATGACGGAATATTCAGGGACTGAGGCAGTTGAGCGAATTCCTTTACGCCTTTGCTGATTAAATGGTCGATTCGTCTCATAGTCACCTTGTGTATCATCCTGTCTCTTCTTTTCGGAACATTGCTGTTTGCTAGTGGCAGCAGGGATAGGGATCTCGTTTAAAGGTGTAAGAGGTTGGGCTGACTTTGGGGGTGTTGAAGTTCCCTCACAGAGGCGCTCAATGTCGAGGAAGTCTTCAAGATCAATAACTCCAGGAGAGTATGGCTCAAAGCGTCCTTCTTGGAGGATTATTGGTTCCATTTTCAAGAACTTATAAGTCTGTAGTAAAAAACATCAACGCATCATGTTCTTTGCACTTGTGTTTCCTTTCGTCAGTCATTCGGACAATGAGGAAGATGGGGCACCGGCCTCTGCTGTCCTATCAGATCGTAGCATTCGCAGCTCCTCCTCGGTGAGCTTAGATGAGCCATAATAGGAAAGTTTACGTCACGTGAAGTTACTGGATGCACTGAGAGACGAATAGCAATGCTTCCCTTTTTGACAGATTCCCCGAGTCAAGGACAAACATAAACTTTGAATGAAACGAGCTTGACAGCGGATGGCTGAAGACAAGCATCGCATTGGAATGCATATTGGGGTCCAGACCGCCCTCTTTGGCATCTTACGTATAAGCACTTGCTTTTTGTTGATGATATGGAGCATTGGTCAAATCCACCTCAGTAATAAGATTCGGATATAGGTAATATGCATATTTCCTGCAACTCTATAACTGTATCGCTGTCTACACCTGAAGTGTTACAATGATTCAGTGGGCCTAGAACACAAGTACGAGAGTTCATCCGACAGTCCGTCCGTCTCAGACAAAGTGCACAAAATGTTGGCCTTGGGGAGCAAGAAAACATCTCAGACCTTAATAGAGAGCGTTAAAATAAACTCAGCAAAAGGTATCCTAAACTTGGGCTAAACTTATGCTAGGTTACCTAAGTCTTTTTGTCATTCAGGATCAAGGTCCTGAGTTTTCTTTCCTCCCCTAGGTTGGTCAGCGCAGTAACAACACAGCACAGGCGCCGAGCTGAGTCTCGTCCAGTAGGGATAAAGATCCACTGGCCGTTTTTGGCGTACTCCTTGGGGCGAACAGACACCAGGCTAGGGTTACAAGGGTGGGACGATTTTCCGGAATGTTCTATAAAAAGGTACCAGACGCGGAGCAGCACAGCCATGCAGACGCAGCAGCTGAGCATGCACCCGAGAACTGGATCCCACGACGTAGCCAAGACTTTGAACGAGCCATTAGAATCTCGACAACTTCTCACAATCCTTTGTCCTTTCCTGGGCAAAATGGATTCTCTCCCTTTTCTGTCTGATGTGCAGAGCCAATCTCGGCTACCGCTAAGCCCCTCAACAACGACCGATGGAACACCCAAGCCAGGGGTCTAAAGTATGACGCAGCTGGTCTGGAGATCTGATGTACCCTTGTGGTGTAGGTAGTGTGCGGCAACTGGGGGTTAATTTTTCGCTGTCCAGATTATCGCCGTAATCAACTCCCAGCCTGATGGTCTGGATTGTGAAGCACAACATGAGGCGTACCGCCATGCGCCTTTCTGACAGGCATATGTGTACAAATACAGACATAAATTTATTACTGCGGCGTCAATTCTTGAGCTCGGTCTCCGGGGTGGCACGCACTTGATGACTGGTAAGTTGTAACTCGTCGATGAAATCCCTGAGGTTTGTCTGGGTCGAGGAGCATGAGTTAGAGGCGATGATCATGGACCGTAAGCCCCCTGTTTTACAGCCACTTTCCCCCAAGGCGCAACTAGTGACTCGTGCAACTGACTGCTGGGCCTGCTGGGCATCACACATGAGTCGACCGAGAGAAACGTGGAGAACACAGAGTACGAGTCGGGTACCGAAGTCTAAAATCGTCCAAGACTTTACTGATGGGGATTTGTCTCGAGTATACGATATTTACCCATCATGTGCTGTCGAGTCGGTCTGAAATACGAGAAGCGAAGCATCGTAGCCGGGTAGATTTCCCCAGTTTATTGGATTCCTGCTGCAACCTCTGCGCCAGACGGTCCATTCTGTTGAGAGCGGCCAACCACGGCTGGGCGTTGTTATTTTTGTGAGTTGGTTTTTGCAGATCTTACGAGGGCGAGAACCAGCCACAGACGGACGGGCCAAATGGGAACAAGATATTTCCGATGCGAGGGAATAGGGGGCCAAGGAGGGGGGGGGGGGGCAATGCAGGAGTTTGAGACAGGGCGAGACTTATTGGAGTTTTCCAATTTCTGACTGCGATGACGAGTTTTGTTTTGACCTCCAATGGGAATGACGACGGGTGAAGCTTACACACGCGATGGTGGTGAATAGAAGCGAGGACTTTGCATGATTCGACGAGGTGCCGATGCCGATAAATGTAACCAGTTTGGGCGTCGTCGACGGCAGAAAGGCAGCCACAAGATCAATACCAAGACCAACCACCAGGAACATGACTGTTTCGGGATGTGGCTGATTCCCGGGAGTCCCAAAAACCTTGCCTCATGCAGATCACAGTTTGCAGTCCAAGACAAAACAACAGCGAAAAGATTAGACTGGATATGGGGAAATTGAGCGATCGAATTGTACGTAACTGATAATCTTAGACCAGAAACCCACCATCTCCAATCTGTTAACTGGCGTTAAATGTGAGGCAACCGTTCGGGGGAACGCCCAGAAGGAAACGCTGAAACTTCGAAACGGCCAGGCACTGTGGGTGACAGGGAGACCGTGGGGTTGACGGTTGGCTCTCGCTGATCCATCCTGCTTCTCCGATCCCTGGCATAATAATAGTGCTGGTACTGGCCAAGTAATGAAGCATCAAGGAGGTGTATGTAATTGCAATCTCTAAGCCAATCCTACCGTACTGTTGCATTACTGTCAACACCAGTTCAGCCTGGCTGAGGATCATCATAAACAATCTGAGCATCAGATATCTTAAAGTCACTCTCAGGTACTCGCAGGTACCCCACGCAGGGTCCATTCGTATCGTGCCAGTGTGTTTACTATGTGTGCAGGCCCTTGAGGCTCAATCCCACTCTGTCTAACACAGTTGCATCTTTGGACTCGCCATAGCGGCAGCTAATTGCACCAGATGGACACCACTAACTAGGTAATAATTATGTTGCACACTGATTTTTCTCGGCCTTTTCTCAACGCCCCGGACTTCCTTGTCGTCGGCGACCCCATGCACTTTGGCGCTCACAACAGAGAAAAGCACCTCACCTCATCCTTGAGGAGAAATCTGCGCACCGTTGGCCAAAGCACACACCCCGGGCTGAGCATTGGGCAACGAAGATTCGCAATGCTTGCTCTAGAAGGCTTACTTTTGGTATTCACAGCCATGCCTCAGCTGTTGATGGTGAGGGGGGGCCTCAGGTGCGTTTTATGCTGGTGCAATAGAAGGAAGGGATCTGGGGACTCGAAGGTATTTACAGAGGTTTGTAGATCAAACGTTGAAATACGAGGAACCCTAGACATGTGTTTCGGAATGGCAGGGTCGTGATTGTTGTCTAATGTGGTATTAATTCATTCAACTCCCAGACAATGGAGTGGCATCATCGTACTATAGACAGCTAGCTTTACCAGGGAAGCTATGTTGAAGCTTCAAGATACAGGATCAATTACTTGACAGCCGAGCGTCCTTCAAACAGACTAACAATATGAATTGATTACTCGCTTCCCTGCCGACATTAGATGATGTCTTTCTTTCTCTCCCTTTCAAGTCTCAGTCTTGGCTTTTGTGGTGAATCAAATGTCTTCTCCACTTGTCATCAGTCTGAAATCACTCCGCAGACCAGTCAAGAGATGGATGAGCCGCCCAGACCAGAAGAGACCCGCTACTATGAAAAAGGATTCAAGGATTCGAATTGGATGCCTCGTTTCCATTGTCACGGATCCGTAATGGTATTGGTAGCGGCGTAGCTAAGCTACAGCACCTGCGACACGACGCGGCACAACACGAGTGACAAGGCGATGAACATGAACGAGCCTGTCTGGGGCTGGAGAAAAGAGAGACATGGCATCCCATCGTAAGAGGGTGAATAAAGATGCAAGCATGTGGATGTGAATAGCGCACTGTTTTAGACACGGTATATCCGGTTTCCGCAGTTGACAAGTCAACTGAATCAGCGGGGGTTTTGGTGATTCAAAATTTCAAATGTCTCTGACTGACAGCTCCCGTTCAGCCCGTCGTCCGTCGTCCGTCGTCCGTCTTTCTGGGCTTTTTTTTTTTCTCTTCTCTTTCTCTTCACTTCAGGAGAAGCTAATCCCTCTAAGCACCACTCGCACCCAAGCAGCCAACGTCATTGCGTATCCACCAAGTCCCGAGCCCCCGAACCCGGACCCGACCCCGTTGATCCAGAGACACACCCAAAAGTAGCAGCAAAACCTCCCAGGTACCAGGCGAGTACCTGAAGTACCTGCTAATTAACCAGCCAGCATCAAGCTCTGCCAGGCCTTTTATGGGCCTTGAGTCTCCATCTTTTGGGGGGGGGGCTTGTCCCCGGCGCAGGGAAGACCCGTCCTAGATCTGACACGAAGCCACAGACTAAAATACTGTGTGCCCTGCGTATTCCTTACCTTAGTAGTATCTAGCGGAAAAGGGCTTTTGCCTGACTTTTTTCTCTTAGTTGACGCTTGCTGCCGTCTCTTCCACTCCAGTCTGAAGTCAAGTTCTCCGTTGAGCTCTCCTCAGTTGAAGTTTCTTTTCTTTCTTCCTTTTTTTTTGTTGTTGCTTGCTGGCAGTCCCCTGACATAAAGAATTGTCCATCTGCCTGTCCCCTTTTACATACGTTTTTTTTTTTAAAACCTGGGTTCTTACCAGCTTACTTACTGCCTTACCTGACCAAGCTTGCATAAGGTAGCTTAGCTCGCCTTGTTTGCTCTGCCTTGCATTGCCTTGTTCTGTTTGAACTGTCACTCGTTTGCCACAAGTACCCTCTGCTGCCATTCTTAGCATAGGTACTCTGCCTTTCCCGTTGTTCTGCTTTGCTGCATGTAACGCTGGCGTTTGGACGATTTGGTCACCTCTTGCATTTACTTGCTAGGACGAACGAGTTGCATTGCCCGTCATGACGTCGAGCAGGTCCTTCAGGGCTTCTATAATGCCCTCTATGCTGCGGTCAAACACAGATCCTGATTCTTCATCTTCTCCTCGAAAGAGCGTAAAAAAGTCAAACACTTCCGATCTCGCTCACCTGCGTGGTTCAAACATTGGGTCGTCAAAGTCCACCACAAACTTGCCTCATATGGGCTCCAACCTGCAGCAAGACCAAGACGCTGTACAACACAACCGTCCACGTTCCGCCGAGCAAAAGACTCTTCGTAAACGCAACGACTCTACTCAAAAAGTGTCCTTGCCCAAATCCCAATCGACGACAAATCTCTCTCCTACCAAGGGTTCAACTCGCTGGAGAAACAGACTTTCATCTTTTCTTCCATCGCTTGTTCTGCCATCTGAGCCTTCACCAAAATCTGTACCAACACCTCCGGTACCTGCGGCGCCCTCCGCTCCCGCTTCCGCCGTTACAGCCGCTGTATCTCCTGCACCCACCAAATCTTCTTCTCCCACCGATACCTCGACCACCACTAACACCGCTGCAACCCCTCCTACAACCGTTGACGATAGCGCCTCATCTACCACTCCCAGCATCATCGACCCCACCGTCCGGATGACGAGCGATTACCACGACGCCCTCACTCACCAGGCTCATGGTCAATACCAGCCAGGCCATGCTGGTTCCCCGCCTAGTCCGGACTCGATCCCAACCCGCGGCAGCGACAGTCTCGATGGCCCATTAAACCCTCAGCCTCAGATCATGGCACCGATTCCTCCATCTCCAGAGGTCCAGAGGGCCACCATGAGCCCCCAGGAACCTAACATGCCGCCTCCTCCGATTCCCACTTCTCCTTCAGATAATGTCAGCAGTGGTAGTGGAAAGTTGCGAAAGGAAAACCCCGCCGCGCGATCACGAAGTGGCTCTCTCCAGCACACATCCAGCAACTCCAATGGTGACTCCATCCAGGCTCTCAAGACTCGACAAACTTCTCCAGCTCCTGATCGTGGTCGCCGCGCATCTTCAGTCCAGTCTCCCAACAGCCGCAATAACAACACCAAGAGCCGCGTAGTTTCCACACCCCTCGCCATCAGACCAGGTTCATCAAAGGGTGATGCGAGCCAGAGCCCGACGCGGGGTCGCCTCCGAAGAAGTTGGTTGCCCGGTGGAAGATCGCGATCAAACTCGATGGACGTCTCCAACGCAAATGCCTCAACCGCGTGGGTACTGTCCGACGATACACAGGCTGAGTACAATGCTTCGTTTCTCAAGAACGGAGAAAAGGTAAGTGACGTTGCTCTACCGTTGAACCATGGTTTCAGAGTTAATCTTTGCGCTCGATTAGGTTCCGGAACTATGGAACGAAAGCGGAGCTGTTCTTGTCTACCTTTACCCCAAAGGCAGTGGCTTTGGGCCGTCTTTCAAGGTTCAAGAATTCACAATCAGCTCGTCCTGGGTTTTCAATGAACTTATTCAGCGAGAGCGAGAGATGCCTATGGGTAGGGACCGAACTAGGAGTTTCAGTGGTCGTGACAGCCTGACGGCAGAAGATGCGAACCGATTTATCTCCTCACCAACCTCCCCTCCTGTTCCGGATGACGGATATGATGACTGCCTCCACCTGTATCTTCCCAATGGAACTCCCGGCCAAGAGACACCACCCGACATGGATCGCTTGATTGCTATCCGCAACCTGTTCGCCTTCTTGACTGGACAGCCTCTCGTTGCGACCAAGGCTCGCCCTACCAACTTCCATGCTTTCCTGGAGATTTCAAAACTTTTGGAAGAATACGGCTTCACGAGTTATGATGGAACCACCTTTGGAGACGCTGTTGATCTCAGTTTCGGGTTTTATATGGACCAGCATGCGCTTGCAGACTGCCGGAACAGCCGGGAGAAGACTCTCGAGGCATTGATTCTGGGCGAGCGCATGCGATCAGCCGATCTCTACAATGAGGCATTTGCCCATGCTGCGGGCAAGCTTCCGGCTATCCAAGATCTGAAACTTCCTCTGTGGAACCAGGTTTCGGAAAAGACACGCACGAACTTGGAACGTGCCAGTACCGATCTGAACAACCGACAGCATAATGCCAATATGCACCTGGAACAATTCGAATTCCCTGCACTTTTCTCAGGTATTGCAAACTCAACTTCCATGTCAGAGCTTAGAAGCGTCCGCTTCAAGGTGTGGAAGCAGTCATTCACCAAAATGCGCAATTTCGCTCTGAGCTACTACAAGACAGCATTCGGCAACTGGCCACCCAAAGCCAGCAGCAAGAAGAACCCATTCTCCGAGAGCGGCCTCAACAGACTTGTCCTCAAGGTTCTGTATTCTGACATGTGCGCTCTTTATGACTTGCTCGTCGACCGCACCAACCGAACTTCGAGAATCATGGATGCTGTCCCTGAGCTTTCTAACGATCCCGACAAGATGATCATGTCTGCATTGCGAAACATCATGTCCGAATTCGATCGCTCAAAGCCGCCTGTTCTTCCTCCCATTCCTTACGATTGCCCGCAACTGCCCACTGCGACATCTATCCTGGAAACTTACGATACACTGTCGCCAAAGAAACAGGCAAAATTCGACAAGAACCTCAAGGAACATGAACTCATGCTCATGTTAAACAAGGCTTACAATTACGATACTAACGCCACCAAGGTTCCTTTCTTGGACAAGTTCAAGGAGTTTGAGCTTCGTGAGGCTCGAGGCAAGACGCCTCAAGATTTTGCTGACCAGCGTATTGGTTACTGGCTGTTCCTTTACGTTGTCATCCAGTCACTTCCTGTCTTGGTTGTGGATGCTCCAGGCATGCAGTTCACTGAAGGTGTTGAGTACTTCCTCTGCGAGCCTCCTCTGGGTAACCCTCCTTGGGTCCCCGATCAGCAAGTGAAGAAGATGTGGTATGAAGTGGCTGGCACAGGTGGCTTGGTCGAGCTCTCTCAAGATGCCGTTCTTTTCAGCGTGGAAGCCACTTACCACCGAAGTCACTGCTGGCTTGCTGCTACCCAGTGGGAGAGCGGCGCTTCAGGACTTCAAGCCCAGGCACCAACGGAACCTTCGCTGTCTCCTTTGCAGCCCCCACGGTCCATGTTCCTGGATGAGGGCTTTATGCCCACACCACCACCATCCTTCGGCAACGGCTACAACACTCCTCCATCTCCTATTGGCAGCCCTTCGGGCTCTCTTCGCCCTCGAACTCACTCGCCCGGCGGAAATCGAGCCAATCAAGCTTGGCGATCCAGTATTGCCTTGGGATTGGAGCCTGTACCTCTCCAGCCCCCAAGCCCATTCGGAGAGCGCAGCAGTTCTCTTGGTGGACGCCCTCCCAGTCTTATGATGGGTTCGCGGAACTCATCTGTTGGTAACCTGGCAGCCTTTGGCCACCAGGGCTTCCCTCAAACAGAGTCACCTCCTCCCGAGCAGACGGGCGCAACCTTTGACGATATCTTGCGCAGTGATGCCATGAAGAAAGAGAAGAAGAAGAGCCGCTTTTTCTAATTACTGTTGGTTTCCTTGGTCAGAACCTGCCGGGCGTGAATCGAAGAGCTCTGGAGCTCAATTCCTGTACAGCTAGCTGCCGGGTTTCCTGAATGCGTGCACGACTTTCCGCCAGCGTTGGCGTGTTTTCATCTAATCACACCGACCTTAATATGGTAACGACCGCCTCAGCCGAAGGTTCTATGCAGGTACCTTTTGGACTGACCACCTTGCGAGCTGTTATTATTTCTCCTTTTCCTTCCCTTGACTTTCTCATCTACTTCATCATATACGCAACATCACATACTTTTTCTTTTTCTTTTTTGGAAAGGAGATCGGGCGGAACAAGAACCTAGCCCTTTTACTATTTAACGACATTTAGCATGAGAAGAACAAAATCAAAAATCTACACAGATATGTAGTCGGAACAGGATCATTATTATCTAGTTTTAAACTAGACATGGTTGATAGAAACAATGTCTTTAATTGGCCGGAAGAAAAAAATGCTTAATTGTTTACTTTTTGCATATGAGGCTTTGGCGTACAGCAGATTTATCGCTATTGCGAGGTAGAGAGCACAAAGGCGTTTACTTGGTGGCATCGGTAGCTTTAATTACTTGAGCTAAATACATGGGTTCACTACACATACGTTTCGTTTATTTTATGTTATTTTATTATCGTTACTATTTTGGTTGAGCCAAGATGGAAATGCCGATACTACATAACTATTTGCACCATGTTAGATCTTTGAAGGTATGTGAATGTTGCCCAATATGTGGATGTCATTTAGCATTCTGTTCTTCTTACTCATATTATGTTTTTGATATGTGCCAAGCTACAACCCCAATCCTGTTTACCAATCTAAGTGAGAACGCCATGCAATGATATCCCTGAACCTTGGGACTTCCCAGATACATATCGTGCCATGCCGTTCCAGTTCTATTATACGTGCCGGCCGTAAATCGTAACCATAGGTACTATCATGACCCCAAGAGTTTTGGTATATTGTCAGGTAAGCACCCTCAGAGAGTGACTTTGGTCCAGCGACCTCTCTCTGTATGCCACCACCTTTCTTTCTCCTTCTTATCCGCCACGATGCCATCCCGCATATTCCAGCGTCCAGTGCATCCTTCCCTCCCACCGATGAGACTCTCACCAGCGTCGCTGTCTAAATCTCTCACATCAATAAGACCGCCTTTCTCGTCTGTAGTACCCCTGTCAGGAAGAAGGTGGTACTTGATAGGGCTTCCAGCCGTACCAATGAATCCAGCCATGGAGAAAGTCTCGGCGATGGTTCCGTCCTCATCTACTACGTTAACGGTGAATCTTGGCCGGGAACGTGCTGCTTCGAGACGGGTTTGGGCGGCAAGCCGTGCGGCATGAAGGCTTGTGTAAGGGCGGCGTGTGTCGCCAAATGGAGATATCGGGGTCCGTGGAGAAGCGAGAGGTGAGTTGTTGGATTTGAACAGGCGTGTGGGAGACATAGGGCTTGCCGAGCTCGGAGGAAATGCAAAAGGTGATGAGCTCTCTGGTTGCTCAGAGGCTCGGAACCGATCAGAAGGAAGATCGATTCTCTCGACGGGGTAGCACAGATCCTGAAAGATGCCGTCCGGGTCGTTGAGTGCTCGAAGTGTCTTCAAAGCTGGAAATCCTCCTGCAGAGATACTGCGAGCGAGAATATCATCCGCTGCGTTGACACAGGTGGCATGGCTGGTGATATCCCAGTGGAGACTCTGCACAGTGTTGTTTGCAAGATATGGCATCATCCATAGTGCGAAGCTGTCGTTCTCTGGCATAACAGGCGGGAAAGTCTGAACCAGAGAGAAATTGAGCAAGTTTCTCAAATTAGACAAGATGCGCGCTAGAGCAGCGAGAGACGTGAGAGGTGTGTGTCGAAGAGTAAGCTTACGCAGAGGAAGGCTGGAGGACTGCGTTGCGAATGATGATAGCCCGCTCGAGGTTATACCGCTGATGTGAGACAAGGTCAAGGAGTGTAGAGGAGGCAGAGCGAGGAGAGTTGAGTCGTCGAAGCTATTGGGCGGCAAGTTACAGAGATGAAGATGTTTGAGGTTCGGAAGACGCTTGAGTGTTGATGTGAGAAGGTTCTCGGGCGTGACGGTAGCTCCTGGGAGACAATGCACGATAAAAGTTTCCAGACGAGACCAATTATCATGACATGTCAAAAAAGCAGCTTCTTGAGAAGGCTTGAGTTCTCCAGGCATCACCAAGCCAAGCTGCTGAGTACTCGATTGGATTCTCTGTTGTCTCTGATGGGGTGAAGCTTGTATGAGCCAGTTCATTTCTCTTAACATGGGTCTTGTTGATAACGCATGGAAGATCTTCTTGAAGGAGTGGTCGTACGGAACCGACAAGCCAGTGAGACTCTCGAGATTGGGACACGCCATGACGAGCGTCGCAATAAGATCCTCATACTCGGCAGTTCCGGAGCCTTTGGCGACAATTTCAGGGGCCGGAACTTTAAGTGTGCGGACGATTTCGGCGATGTGTGGATTAGCGCGGAGGATGCGCCGGAGCATGAGGACACGAATGCCCTGTGCCATTTTGAACTTCTTCTTGAGAGTTGCCGAGTCTGGGCCCACGAGCTGGATATTTTGGTATCTGATGCCATTTAGATTTTCCTCGTGTGTGGTTGGGAGACATGTGAGATGTGCTTACAGTGCTATTTGGGCGGGCCTGTACCACTTGCGGCAAGCCACTGCGATGTTACAAGCATCTCGCATCCAACAAGTTGCACAGCTCCCGCTCTTATCCTCCAGGTGAATATCTCTTAACTGCTCGAGTATATTTGAGAGGATCTCCGAGGGTAACCTGGCAAAGAGCTCATTCGGTTGGAGGGGAGCTCGGGAAGACAGTTTCTTGATGGGTATTGGCCGCTGATACATATACTCAGGCCGCCATTGGGACGTCGACTCGTTCGTTTCCATACTCGTTCTACTCCCCCAAGAAGGGGTACGTCTTGCTGAAACCATGCTTTCTCGAGATTGAAAGGACGATGCAGTCGTAACTGAGTTGTTGGACAGTTTTCGAGGACGGTTCAGGGCGGCATTTGGCCTCGCATTTGTAGGATCTGCCAGGGGGGTTTCGAGAACAGCATATGTTGGTCGAGGATACGCTGTAGGAGCAAAGTTGTCTTGTGTGCTCTTTGGAGACTCAGTGTTTGCAAGGAAAGCGTTGATGGCGTTTTCTTGAACTGAAGAGAGATCTTCTGGTGAGCCAAAAGACGGCGAGTGAACTGGCCGGACAGCAATTGTAGGGTCCTTCATAGTTGCAGTAGTATCAAGCTTGAGCTGGTTCTTGTGCTGCTTGTCATTAGGCTTTGTTACTGGCGGTGATCCAGCATATGCGGAAGCTCTCTTGGATCTCAGTTTGTTTGAACCAGGACGGCTATACCGAGAATTAAATTATTAGTATTTAGAAAAAAACATGTGTTTGAAAGCAACGACCAACAACCTCCGCGAGTCAACGGAAATCGAAAGTATATCATTCAACATGGGTGCTGAGGGACGGGTAGGGCAACAAAAAAAAAAGTCCTAGAATCACACCACTTCCCCATGGTACACGCAAATGCCTAGACTAGGCATAATTGACCTCTTTGGATAGAGATCTGACGTAGGCAGAAAGACGGTTCTGGCTGTGCCTTTGCGGTAGACAGGGAGCTTGAGGCGCCACGCAGGGGAAAATGTGGACATGTAATTTAAAAAAAAACATCGAGATGTGAGCGCCTTGTTGGAGCTGAATGCGCTAGAGCGGGAGTCGCATGCGGCCAACACCAAGACCAAGACACTAGGACGCCGGGTTTAGGGGGCTAGACAAGATGAGGCGTTCTTGTTCTTTTCTCCGGAAGTCTTCTAGGGGTTCTTCTTTGGAACTTTCCAAGGGGTCAAGAGAGGGAGGAGAATAATGGAAAAGAAGGGGGGTTAATATTAAAACAGACAATGCATTATGTTTGCGTGTGGGTGGTATAGGAATGGGATGTTGAGTATAGCTGACTGTAAAACAGGTGACGAATAATAATGATGATGATGATGATAATAAGGATAATAATAATAAAAGAAACTCTTCAACTCACACAAGGTCAATCGATTGGCGGTTCTTCTTGTTTTTCTTCTTGTTCTCCCCACTCCCTGCCAATGGATCCTCATCAATCATAGTAACCGCCCAGACATGTCTCCTAAACTCCTCTGCCCTCTTGTCCTCAATGGCAGACATTGAGCTTCGACCATGGTGAAAGAAGCGCTTGAACTCTTGTCCGTGGTGGTTATGTTGAACCTCGAACATGGTCGGTCGTTAATGTGGAGTTTCAAGATGATCGACGGAGGCTATTTATTGTGACAGGGTGTTTTTGTTTTTGGTCTATCGATATTCGTTTATGTTGCACCAGATTGTCGTGATAATGTTCCGATGTTGACTGCCGGACCAATAGAGTCGAGAGTATCGTAAGCGAGGGGATGATATGAATGTTGAAGTATAGGACAAGGAAGAAGCGGCTCAGGGGAACATGAGGACTTAAAAGGCAGACGATAAGTGTTGTCAGGGAGGGAGGCTTGTCCTATAATCATGCCATTCATTGGATGCTATCCAATGCAAAATACACGGTCAAGTCAAACGCCTCTGCATCGTTTTGGCGTAAGGGTATCTCAGACATGCAGCCCCCTTCGTCAGCAGTACCTAGGTTAGTACGGATAGTCAGAATCGATGTACTTTTTGGTTGACCAGGTGAGAAGTACAAACACTTCTGACTACCTAACTACTAGGTAGTTAGTTACCTTATGACGGAGAAGTCAGTAGTGACCAAGACCCAAGACTTTGGTAAACTCCCGAAACGGGCTTGCGTCAACCTTAAGTAACTGATGGATTGTGCACTGTCGCTCAAGTAACGCACGCAGCCCCCGATCGATCTCACAAAACAAAGCCCATTCAGAGCCAAAGCCACAGGGAAAAACCAAGATTCATGTTTGAGGATGCGGAGCCAATAGAGATCCGTAGCTTGGGTGGTCGAG